GTTTCAAACTCCTGGCCTCAAGAGATCCTCCCACCTTGACCTCCCAAAGTGCTGGGATTACAGGCAAGAACCACCATGCCCAGTCCTCCTACTTAAAAGTCTTGTATCATAACATTTTTTCATTGCTAAAAATTCCTCATAATCACACTTTTTAGTAACGCCTAATATTTCACTACAGGGAATGTACCACAATTTATTTAGCTGGTCCCCCATTTGTGGTCAAATGTACCACAAACTTTTTAGTAATGCTTAATATTTCACTTCAGAGAACGTATCACAATTTATTTAGCTGGTCCCCATCATTTTACATTTTCATGATTAAAGATAATGACTGTCATGAGGAACATCTGTGGGCTTTTGTGGGGTGAATCAGAAAGGGGTTAAGGGAAGTGACTTGGTGGTCAGGAAGATCCGAGTTCAAATCCAGGCTCTGCCTCAGTTTATTACTGTCATTAGAGTCTTGGTTTCCTCCTTCGCACAAAAGGAACCCTTACAAAAGCTCCAACCTCATAGATTTCTAAAAACAGGTATGTTGAGATAAAATTCACATAACATAAATTCATCTATTTAGGCCTGGTGCAGTGGCTCACACCTGTAATCCCAGCACTTTGGGACGCTGAGGCGGGCAGATCACAAGGTCAGCAGTTTGAGACCAGCCTGGCCCATACAATGAAACCCCATCTCTACTACAAATATAAAAATAAGCTGGGCATGGTGGTGGGCACCTGTAATCCCAGCTACTCAGGAGGCTGAGGCAGGAGAATTGCGACCCGGGAGGCGGAGGTTCCAGTGAGCAGAGATTGGGTCACTGCACTCCAGCCAGGGCAACAGAGTGAGACTCCATCTAAAAAAGAAAAAAAGAAAAGAAAAATGAAATCCACCCATTTAAAGTCTAAATTCAATGGTTTTTAGCTATGTACCATTTTGGCAGGATTCAATGATGTAGAATCATTTGTTTGATGAACAAACTGCCAGCATGATTAATAATTCTCTGATCATAATTTTCATTATTTTTTTAGGCAAGGTTCTTGAGAAACATCAACACAGGATAAAAGCCTATAAACTTCTCAAATGTTTTGTAAATAGGTTCATGAAGATAGAGGGATTTTTAAATGTGCTTTTGGTCTTTTGGATTTTTGGTGTTTCTATAGAATTTGGGGGCATAGGGGGTGGTATGAAAGTGTTGGGTTATTTGGTTCAAGATACCTTCTTTCATTCCCTTTTGTTGCAACACTGAATTATACCCACCCTCAAACTGTACACACAGAGTAATGAGGGGAAGTCACTTCTAATTTGCAGACCCTCCCTGCCTGTCACCTCCCCCTGCAGAGCCACCAGGCTTCCTGTCTTTACATCCAAGTGAGACTCCTTCAGTGAGGGTTGCATGAGTACCACTTCTAATCCCCCACCTTAACTCAAGCCAAGCCAGTTTCATGGGCAGAAATCAGAGGCAGGGGTCTCTGCCAATTCCATGGGGTGCCCATCCAACCTCCCAACAAACCACAAAAATATTCCATTTGGCCGTGGGTGACAGACTGCAGGTTTCAGGGTTGAGTTAGTATAGTGTCGGCCAAATGCAGGAGTGTGTTGCACCAGAGTGGTGTGTGGGTGAATCCTCAGCATCCCGCAGGTATGGGAGCAGGTTACATGAGATGGGTGTGGGCTACGTGGTGAGGGATGAGAGGAAGGTGCACGGAAGGTGGGTGGGGCCAGAAGTGGGCGAGGGTGGAGGTGAGGAATGGGGCCCCAGCAGAGGTTGGACATAGTAGTTACACCAGTGGTTTGGAATCATTTTTGGGTCATGGCCTCCTTTGAGAATCTGATGTATGCTAAGGAAAGAATGAACACACACACACACACACACACACACACACACACACACACACTCGGCAGGTTGTGTCAGAGGTTCCCAGAACTCAGGAAATTCATCTAAGGACTTGGAATTAAGACTCTCTGGTCTGGACTAGTTCAAAGGGACTTGTCAGAAACAAACCCTAAAGCTGCATTAAGAGCTTGAGAATATTTATGTCTTCTAGTGTGAAAGAGATTTAGAGAGGTTTGAAGGTTTGGAAATTAAATTTCAAAGTCCACTTTTTCCATTAATGTTTTTTTTTTTCTGGTTTTTATTTGGAAAGTTTTCCAATTCTAACAAGAAGTTGCAAGCTCATGTACTCTTCAACTACATTCACTAATTACCAAAATTTCCCCCCACTTCCTCCCCACTCCTGATCTATGCGTGCTTATGCTCTCAGAAACCCACGTTTTTTCTGGAGAGTCATTTTAGACTAAGCTGCAGATGTCAATACTTCATCTCTACACGCAAGACACATAAATCCTAAAATTAAGGGATTCTCCTGCATAACTAAATACAATGATCACACTTAAAATTTAACATTGATACAATGTAACATTGTGTAAGATACATTAACATCCTGTAATATACACCCTTTATTGAAATTTCCCCTGGAGTACCCTTCTATTAGGCTGGTGCCAAAGTAATAGTGGTTTTCGCCATGACTTTCTTTTTTTTTTTCTTTTTCAAAGTTTTAAAGGCAGATTTTGAAAAAATCGCCATTACTTTCAATTGAATTTCAGTAACTTTTGCACCAACCTAATATGAGCTGTATTCTTTCTCCCTCCCTCCTTTCCTTTTTTTTTTTAACCCGGATTTTACAACCACCTTCTTTCCTTTCTATCCTTTCTACTTTTTTTTTTTTTTAATCCAGACTCTAATTCAGAATCATACTCTTCATTTAGTTATGTCTCTCAGTCTTTAGTAATCAAGAACACTCATCCAGTGTTTCGTTTGGGTTTGTTTCTCCTGCGACATTGACATTTTTGAAGAACACAGGCTAGCTGTTTGGCAGAATGTCGCCCAGCTTGGATTTGTCTGATGGTGTCCTTATGATTAGATTCAGGTTAAACGTCTTGGCGGTAGTGCCGCATGGGGGATGTGTATAGAATGCCTTCTCAGAGCATCACACCAGAGGATCAGTTGGTTCCCCACTGATGAGAAGTCGGATCCATTGGTAAGATGGTGACCTCCAGTTTCCTCCTAGTAATCCCTAAGTCATCTGTGGGGTAAAACTGTATTCACTGAAGGTCTCTGACTGTCGCAAATGCTGGGAGAGCCAGTGGTGAGCCGTCCATAGTCTGCCCTTGCTCTTGCACTGTTTTTACAGGGGAGGGGACAGACAATAAAACAGGAAACAATTAATGAGAAGATATGCAATTTTATGAAGCATGTGGACAGGGTGCTGAGACAGAGAAGTATCGACTCTAGAGAAAGTGATCTTTAAAGTGAGACTTGAGCTGGGGGAATGCCTGTAGTCCCAAGTCCTCGAGAGGCTGAGGTGTGCTATGCCAATCAGGTGTCATCACTAAGTTTGGCATCGACTATGGTGACCTCCTGGGGCTGGGGGACCACCAGGTTGCCAGATGGCAAACAGCAGGTCAAAACTCCCATGCTGATCAGTAGCAGGATCATGAATAGCCATTGCACTCCAGCCTGGGCAATACTGTGAGACCCTATCTGTAAAAAATACTACTAATAAAGAAAAAGGTGAAACTTGAATAGGAAAAAGGAGTCACCCTTGGGAAGGTGGGGTGGAGGGGTTGGGGGTGGCTTCTAGTCAAGCTTGGGGGATGGAAGGAACTGAAAGATGGATGTGTGGTGGTCTCAAGGTGGGAAGAGTGACAGAAGCAAGGCCCTGTGTCTGGTAATGATAATATTCAACACATAGTATCTTAATATTGAACATCATCCTAAGTGTTTCACATGGTTTACCTTGTTTAGTTCTCCTTGCAGCCCCGTGAAGTGGGTGCTATTACTGATTTTACGCTGTAGAATCTGTGAGACAGAGAGGTTGAATAATTGGCCCAAGGTCACACAGCTTGTAAGTAGCAGTACTGGATGGATCTGACTCCACAGTCTGTGCCCTTACCTTTGTCAAGGAGGAAGGCCCAGGGTTTCATCCAGAAAACAGAATGTGAAAAGGGATTGGAATCAGAGCAACCTGGACGGGGTGCAGAGGTTCTGTCGCGAAAGGAGGCTGGATGAGAAAGGAAGTCAGAAGAAGGGCTTAGAAGGTTAAAGGAGATGAGTGTTCAGGGCTGCAGGCAACACCGGAAGCCAGGCCAGCTCAGTTGGCCACCCGCCCCGGGTGCATCTCCAACCTCAGTCTGTCCCTTCAGGTCGGATTTACATTCTCCTGCTCTCCCTCCTCCTCAGCAAAACCAGGAGATTTACAGACTCTCAAAGTCTCTCCCCACAAATGACTTACTAATCACAAAGGGGAAAATTGTAACTTTGCAGTGGCACAACCTGGCCGACTCCAGCTTAACCAAGTGACCGAAGTGGGTATTCAGAGGGTTCTCAGGGAAGGCTGTGGAGGGGCATTTGGGGGAAATGTAGACGGTTTTTATGAGGAGGACCCTGAATGAAGGGGGTGGAAAGTCTTGGGGACTGAGGAGTCTGTGGGAACAGGGAAGGGTCCAGAGGGGGAAGGAGGGGTACGTCCCGGGGGGAGGGAGAAGTATTGAGGTGGGGAGGTTCTGAGGTTTGAGCGAGGCCCTGGAGAGAGACTTGACAGTTTGGGTGAGAGGAGGGTATGGGAAGTGTTGGGGGGCAAAAGCTGGGTAAGTGCAGAGCTGGGGGCAGGGTCTCCACGGACAATCTTGAAAGGGTCGGGACTCGAAGGGGAGGGTTCTAGGGCAACGGCCAGTGGAAGGGGGGCTCCTGCGGCGTGAGGTCAGGCCGGCCCGAGCGTGAGGCGATTTGGACAGCCCGGCTTGGGGCGGCGGGAGGGCCATGGTGGGAGAGGGCGCAGGGGAGGGGGCGGGGCGTGCCGGGGCGGGGCCGGGGCGGGGTCGGCACCGCCCGGCGGGTCCCCCCGCGCTGCAGGGGGCGCTGTGAGCCTGGGCGGCCCCAGGCCGGGCGGCGGCCGCTCCCCGTGAGCGCGGCCCCTTTTCCGGGTTTCCTCCGCCTCCTCCTCCTCTCCTCCTTCTTCTCCGCTGCTGCCGCCACTGCCCCTTTCCCGGCCGGTGGCTGCCGCTGCCGGTGCCGCCGCCGCCGCCTCCTGGGGGCCGCGAAGCCGAGCGGAGACCGCCGCGGAGCGCGAGCGCCGCCCGCCCCGCCGCTCCGCCGGCCGCTCCAGGGCCGGGCCGGCTCGGCCGGCGCCCCCCGCGCCCCCAGCCCGCCCGCCCCCGCGGGCCCGGCCTGGCGCGGCCGCCCGCTGCCGCGCTCCTCCTCCTCCTACTCCAGAGCCCGGCGGCCAGCCGCCTCCTCCGCCCGCCGCCCCGCGCCCCCCGCTGCGCCGCCGCCGCCGCCACCCTCTGCGCCCCGCGCCGCCCCCGGTCCCGCCCGCCATGCCCGGCCCGGCCGCGGGCAGCAGGGCCCGGGTCTACGCCGAGGTGAACAGCCTGAGGAGCCGCGAGTACTGGGACTACGAGTCTCACGTCCCGAGCTGGGGGTAAAGCCGCCGCCGCCCCCCGCCGGGCCCGCTGACCCCTGCCCCCGCCCGGCCGCCCCCCGCGACCCGCACTCGGCCAGGGTGGTGTCTCCCGCCGATCCCTCCGCGGCCCCGCCGGAGACGGAGGTCCCGCTCTCGCACATGTCCTCGTCTTCCTCTTCCCTCCCCTTTACCCCCGTTTCGTCCCTTTCTCCCCGCTTTGCGCACCCCTTTCCCCTAAGGAATGCTGTTTTACTCGGGGAGAAGTGTGGGGTGCACGGATCGGCGCTGGGTGGAAGTGAGGGAGCAGCCCTTCCTCACACTTTTGGGTTTCCACTAGGGTGGGAAGTCAACAGCTGTCCTCTGGAGCTATTAAAATTCTCTGCCTTTTCGGTTTTCTGAGATGAGGTGGTGGGAGGAAATTTCTTAAAGACGTCCGCGTTTTTAAAACAGGGACCGTCTACCTTCAGGGTGTGAAACGGGAAGCAGGTGCTGTGGAGCCGCGGGGCAGAGGGGGCACCCTCTAGGCCTTCAGGACGGGTGCTTTGTTCGCCCCTCTGGACTGGCTCAGAGCGTTGCCTTCCTACCCCATCTTCCCAAGTTAGGAGAGACCAATTAGGGTAGGAGCTCTGCAGAGTGAAGGGAGCCAAGATTACGTCGTGGCTTTCATTTAGGGAATGAGTTGTGACGTGATGTATAGACACTTCCAAGTGTTTGCCTGGCGGAAGCGGTTGGATGACGTGTATGGTGGGCATAGGCTTGGCTAACCCCTAGTCCTGGCATTTATGTGTGTTTCTTACCTTTTACAGTAATCAGGATGATTACCAACTGGTTCGAAAACTTGGTCGGGGAAAATATAGTGAAGTATTTGAGGCCATTAACATCACCAACAATGAGAGAGTGGTTGTAAAAATCCTCAAGGTGAGTGTCCTATGAGTGATATGTAACATTTGTCCCCCCACAGGGCAAAAGGATGTAAGCTACCCCAGTCACATTCTAGAATGGGCAGTGCAAGCTTGAATTTCATTATTTATTTATTTCGAGTCAGAGTCTCAATCTGTCACCCAGGCTGGAGTACAGATTATAGTTGACTGCAGCCTTCAACTTCTGGGCTCAGTGATCCTCCCATCTCAGCCTCCCAAGTAGCTGGGACTACAGGTGCATGCCCCCATACCCAGTTATTAAAAAAATTTTTTTTGTAGAGACAGGGTCTGGTCATGTTGCCCAGGCTGGTCTTAAACTCCTGAGCTCGAGCAGTCCTCCAGAACGACTCCTTGCAGGCCTTCCAAAGTTGCTGGGATTACAGGTATGAGCCACTGCACCCAGCCCATACTCAAATTTTACTTCTCTGATGTCCCTTCGTTACTTCTTTTTCCACCCCATTTTCCTCTGAACTTTCAAGGAAATGTGCAGACTGGTCACAAATCTAAGCTCAGCTCTTAAGTTCAGGAAGATGTTTGTTCTAAAATGTAAATTATAGGGGCCTAAAGCAAAAATTACAAAAGGGCTCCATTTGTTAAAAAATAAAGAGGTATTCAAAAGACAGAGAAGCCATTCTCAGTTTCAGTTCTCCTTGAGCACTGTGCTTGTTACTCTTGGTGCATGATCTACCTCATTCCAGAAAGAAAGTTGGACAAAATTGGAGTGACTTCAGAGATGTATTTCAAGCCCAAGTGGAAGGAAATTCCTTAGTGGATAATCACTTGTTTTTTCTTCTTTGGCAGTAAAGTTTCAGGTGGCGTGGATATAGTGCACTAGTAGTGCTGAGAAGCTTGTTGGGAAGCCAGAGAGCCATTGTTGCTTATCAGCTAGTAAAAATATAGAAGAATTCGCTGATAATTACTAAAGTAATCACTGGAACAAAACTATCTTAACATACGGTTTAGTGATCTCAGTTTGATAATGCTATGCTTTTGTTATCTCTTTGATGAAGATGATTTTAATGAGCATGAAGGGTCGGCTAAATTTTCCTTCAGGTAAATGATTAGTTGTGTAGTTTTAGTAATGTTTTATAGGGTACAGTAAAAAGTAATTCGTAGAATCTGTGATGGGTCCTCATTATTGCCAGATCACTTCATGTGGGTACATGTCATTCAGTGAGAGATTGAGAAGATGGAAGAGTAATGCAAGCACTTTTGTATACATGTGATTTCCCGTGTGGCCCTTTTGCAGAGGTTCTGTGGACTAAGAATGTGGTATTGAAAAGCTGTTTCTGTGTGTTAGGGCAGCTGTGTAGGTAATCCCTGTTTAATGTGAGGGGTCAGGGTTAACTTTCTGGTAATCATCTTTCAGAAAAATGATCAGCTCCATCACTCAATACATCCTAGCCTAGTGATGAAGGAGCAGAATTGCAGGAAGGAGAAATAGACAGTCATTTGTGTTCTCAGGCACACTAGGGATCAGAATCTGTGAGGAATTGATGTTGAAGATACTGAGTGTGACTCCTCTCTTCCCTAAATATGAATTACACTTACGAAGTCACAAGGTGGTGGTGGTGGTTTTTTTAAGTCACAGGGAAATTACCTGTAAAAGCCATACATTAGCTTTATGTACATAATCACAAGTTATTAATAAGCTGCTTCAAATCTAAGAAGCAAGGCATACATTGAAATTAGGAATATCCACATTCTACTGCTGTACATTTGGAAGAATGAATTGCTGACTTTAAAGCAATTCCAGAAAAATGTCTAAACTTTTGTGCTATGGCAGCATTTTTAGAGTAAGTGTACAATTTTCTGTGGTGCTTTTTTTTCTTTTTCTTGAAAGGAACGGCATTCAGCGTGTTCATTTAGGAGAGCATCACCTTGCTGCTTCATCATCCAAAGAGCTTCATAGGGTCTAGCTTTTCCCTTACTCTAAAGATTCTTAGCATATGTTGGGGAACCCAGTATGGAAGCTGCTGCAGGTTGTTTTTACAAATGGGAGACTTAGGCACAAAGGAATTTACCTAACATCATTATGTTGATTGACCATTACCCAGAACACCCGTTTCCTATTTCTTCATATCTCTTACTGCTCATTTAGCATTGGATTGTAGGATTCTAAAGCTGAGCACAAAAGCAAGTACCAGTGTCCTGGAATTAGACTTGGGAGGCCCCTTTGATACTCTAGTTAATAAAATGTTTCTTGTTTCTTCTTGTCTCTTTTGACATTGTTTCTTTTCACAGTGCAGTCTAAACCGCTAGTGAAAACTATACTCACTTCTTTGTATTTTTTCAAAGCCTGGTAGCATTTCTATCCAGATTTTGTTCCTGTCTGAAGGACAGGGTAATATATCACTAATGGCATTATTGTGGTTTTAAAAAGAACAGGGTCTTTAGCCAAAGTTGTGCTGCTTTATTCAAATAAGTTGAAGTTATGACTAATAGCTACTATTGTGGTGCTTGGTCATAGGAAATTAGGTCCTTAACGGAGTACCAGCTGCTCATAACTTGGAAGAATCTAGAACAGGCTTCCTTTTTGTATAAGCCTGCTGTATTTTAGCTGCAGGATTGTGTTATGCACATAGTGACCAAGATAGAGGGTATCTTTCTTGAAGACAAGCTGTCTTTTTTAGTCAGTAACATTTCATATCAGTTCTTTGCAATATGTAAGAATCGGTGGATGATGAGTTACTACAGGGGAATTTTATATCATTTAATTTGCATTCGATTTCCAGGTATTTTATTGATCAAAGTAAATGGAGCTACTAAGTTGTTTTAGGAATTTAGAAACTGGTGAGGAAAATTTTACTGTGCATCCTCAAGTGATACTCGGTGGCTAAAATCTTAAAACTTTCCAATCAATAGAGAGGTGGTATCTTTTTTGATAGATTGTTTTGAGGAGGAGGAGGAAACTGATAAGGGTTTATATGGCAGGGCAGAAAGCTACATTAGTGCTGAAAATTTCATCTTTTAATTTTGAAAAATCAATTCATCATTTCCTGTGTAAAAGCTCTTGGAAAAGGGTACACAGAAAAAGTGGCCACTTTTGACAACTTTTAGCATCTTATGAACACTGCCTGTATGTGTAGATTTCAACATTTCTTGGGGTCCTTGGGAAGCTTTCAGATTAAACTGCTATTGAAAGTTAAGAGCAACACTATTTTTAAAAAACAAATATATAGCATTTTGAATCAGTGCTTAAATGACTTGGAAATTCCCATATAAGTCTTCCTGTTAGTAGTAGTTATTTTATAAATAGCTTGACTATCCATTTTCCCAGAGATATTAATTCTTGAGCTTTAAACAAAGGATGGGGGTATTAAATTTTGCTCTTTAAGCATGTTTAGCATATTTGCAGATACTTTTTAAGTTTTGTGTTGTCAGTAGCTAGTGTTAAAAGGATGAGCGTTGATTATACATCCTGGTTGGCAGCTTCATCATGAGCTGGTGATCTTTATGTTACATCAAAATGGTGCTTTCTGCTTTATTTCTAACTTCTGTGGTAGGTTTTTTACCCTCCATTTAGGAATCTGTATGAAGACATCTTCCTGAGCAATACATTAGTGGTATTTATCTAAATTTTTTGTAACTTCTAGTTTTCACTAACGTCTCATGACATAAAAGTAGTGAAAACAGTATTGCTAAAGTATTGCTAACATTAAAAATAATGTTAAAAATTGTATGTGAACTAGGCTGTTTCTAACATTGTGGTAGGGGAGTCACGGATTAAGAGTATAGTTAACCTGTGTCACACAGAATCACAGAATGTGGGTGCTTAGAAACCATTAGAATCTAGGCCATTTTTACAAATCAACCAAGACCCAGAGAAAGGATGTATCTGCTCAGCATCATGTAGTCAGAGGGTGGAAGCACTCGGTGTAGGATCCTGTGTGCCTGTCCTGAAGTCTTGGTAGATGTGAGGAGCATAATTAGGACATTTTCTGGATGTTTGACTTTGTGTTCTACTGATCTGTACTGGAAGAATTGAGGGACACTCACCAGGAGTCAAATGAAGATAATTTGTTTCTAATGATTTTTAGTTATTTTAATCAAAGGAAGTATTTGACTTTGGTAGGTTGCTGGTTGAAGAGTGGAATCCAAGAGTCCTAGAGGGCTGTAGGGGCCCAGGCAGGGTTCTCTGTGATTTGTATCCACAGCAGCACGTTTAATGCTTAAATGAAATGCTACTTTACTGTCTTGGTTTGAAGCCTCAATAAGTAGTGTTTTTATGCTTTTTTTTTTTTAACCCATAGAGCCCCTCCAGGTCTCAGCATGATCACTTTGCCAGATTTGGGGATTAACAGTTTTATCCCTTTAATATATGAGTTTATTTAAGAGCAAACCACGTGTGAAAAGAATATCTTGAGATAGTGTACCCATTTTCGTGTATAAAGCAGGGCTTCAGATAGCTTCTAGAGCAGGCGTCCCTAAACTACGGCCCACGGGCCGCATGCGGCCCCCTGAGGCCATTTATCCGGCCCCCCCCCCCCCCCCCCCGCCGCACTTCAGGAAGGGACACCTCTTTCATTGGTGGTCAGTGAGAGGAGCACAGTATGTGGCGGCCCTCCAATGGTCTGAGGGACAGTGAACTGGCCCCCTGTGTAAAAAGTTTGGGACGCCTGCATTTAATTTCAGGATCTGCCATCTTATAATCAGGGTGGTATAGTGTATGAAGTGCTATGAGAGCAGAAGGCTTGAGTTCCAGAACTAGCTTCTTCATGGATCCCCACTTCACTGTTTTCTCATCTATGAAATAAGCATGCATTTCCTGCTTAAGACACAGGGTTGTTAGGAAAGTCAGGTAAACTGTCGATTGATGGGTAGAGAGATAGATGATCATGTTTTTAAAAATCTACAAAATGCTTTTCTCAGGCCTAGGAAACGGTCTGCCTGGATTCAGGTGTTAATTCCAACTGCAGACACTCTATGACGTTGAACAGTTGCTTAAGTTCTCTGTGCCTTGGTGTCCTTCCTCAAGTAAAACTGTTAATAGTGCTC